GGGAGCAGCTCAGGGGCAGAGCACGTGTCCAGCATTCAGTAGGCCCTGGCTCACTCCTCAGCAGCACAGGGGAACTGAATCCACCTGTGTCCCATGGTGCTGAGGCTGCTCCACCTGCCTGGGAGGCCCAGGCCCTGTGGGCTTCGTGTGCCCTTAGCCTCCTTCAGGACAGCAGAGGCAGCTGCAGTCTTCACCGTGAGTGTTAAAAACCTGCTGCTCCCCGCCCTTGCGGAGGCAGCAGGAACAGCTCCTTGGACCGAGCTCTGAGAACAGGGGGGTTTGACAATCTGTGTGACAAAATGGAAAGTAGACACGAACACTCCTACTACATGTGGAGGATCAGTGGTTGACCTGAAACACATGAATGTGCGTTTTAGTTGCATGCTGACATACCTGCTTTTTCATGGAACACTTTATCTGAAAGACAGAGAAGCTGTGGTTGTTCAGACGAGCCTGCTTGGGAGAGGATTCTAGAGAATGAGTGGCAGGAGATGGCCAAACAAGGCAAACTGCCGGCGGTGCTGGTTGCCAGTGTGTTCAGTCTTTCAAGTGGAAAGTAGGTTTTGAACGGTCCATCCCAGGGTGAGAATGACAACTTCCAGATATGGAATACTTTTCGGATGAGATTGGTAGAGGTGCTATCATGTGCGATTTTTTCTTTTTTTTGATAACGGAGAAATGTAGCAACATTTGGAAGACTGGCACCAGTCAATAACTAATATTTTCTAAGTGACTGTTACAGAGTTTTTCTTGGGTAGAAGATCCATTCAGTGTGTAAAGACAGATGAGTAGATTTAAACATAACAAAGAAAAGTTCATATTTGTATTACAGCTGACCTTTGAGGAGCTGCCATTTGTCAAGTTTTTTTTTATTAAAGAAGAATATTCACAATTATCTCAAAATGCTTCTTCTACTACATATTTGTAAAGTTTATTTTTCTTCATATACTTGATAACATTGCAGCAAATTGAGAAAGCAGAGATGAGATGTCTTCTGTTAAGCAAAATGTAGAACAGTGGCTTTCGCCCTGTTAAATATGCTTTTTAAAAATATAAAAGTAGTGTTTATAAACTTGTGTTGTTTTTGTTGATTTGTGATGGGTATATTATTGTTGTTTTAAAATATAAATACTTTAGATGCTCTCAGTTTCCTTGTGGAGTGGGAAATATCCCCAGCTGTAACCCACACAGATGAGAAGCTCTTGGAGCCCCTCAATTTTTAGGGTATTTTACGATCCTGGTCTCAGCCTGTTCTTTGGGGGATAGTTTATTACCTTATTTATCAAACAGGCTTTTTGTTTCCATTCTCCTATTTTACCCCTTCTGAATCTTGGATGCATCTTTTTACAATTGATGGGTGTAGCTAAGGTACCCTTTCTTCCCTGAGACAAGGGCACTATGAGTAAATCAGGATTTGATTTCTACGCATACGTAATTCGGCTTTGAAAACAACATTCCCCCCTCCTCTGGAGCTGACCCTAACATTTGTGTCCATAGATAGCGAGGCGCGCTTGTGTGTGTGTGTGTGTGTGTTTGTGTGTGTGGACCCAGCACCGGGTTAGCAGCCGGGCCTCACCTGGGAAGTTGTTCTATAACCCTGCCTGCTCCTGTGCAGCCTCCTGTCTTCCCATCATGCCTAATGCAGGCTCGTTAATTAAAAAAAATTCAGATCATCCCAAGTTTAGGTTCTAATACAGCGCAACTAAACGTGTGTGTGTGTGAATGAAATGCTTTATAATTTTCATATAATCATAAAACCAAAAATGAATTGCACTTTGCATCCACTCACCAGCCTCTCTACCCTCTCCTCCCCTTCCCAGCCTGTGGCACCAGCTCTTCTATTTCCCCCTTACCCGTCGAGCTTCTTCCCGTGAGTGAGGCCTCACGCTCACTGTCTCTTGGTGCCTGGCTGCTCCCACCTAACACGGTGTGGGATCCTTTCATTCGTCCAGGCCAATCATGCCTGTGTGCTTGATGGCCCTGTACTTGCAGCCCTTGGAGCTGTAAGCAAACCCGGACCTCCACATCCCTGCTGTCACTGCTAGCCTTTGTCTAGTGACTGTACAGTGCTCACGTCCTTCATCCTGTTCCGTTATCCTCTGGCCAGCCTGGTCATCAGCTCTAGCACACCTTGAGTTTTACAGTGGACACAAGTGTAAAAGTGGCCCTGAAGTTGCACAGGAGTGCTCAGTCCCCACGGCAGTGCGTGGAAAAGACCAAGGAGGTTTGTATTTGCATTAATTTTTTAATTGATGTCACTGAAATGAAGCTGTGGTTTAATGGTGAAGCCCTTATGGGAAGAGCTCCATAAGTGAACGTCCCTGGGCCACTTCCCATGCAGTCCATGCTCTGTGCCCGCTGCACCCGCGCCCGTGGCCTCCCTGGCTCCAGTTCCTCTCATTCCCACATCCCCACGTTATTCCGGGAGACAGACAGGGATCAAGTGTGTGTTGTCCCTCTGGGACTAACACTCCGTCTAGCAGAGGGCCGGTTCTGCCTGCATGCCTGTTCCTCTGAGCCGAACCCCGAATATGCAGTGCCTTCGCCTGAGGACATTTACAAGCCCAAGTGGAGTAAGTGGTTTTAGGGTTGCCAAGCAAACTCTGTGAAATTGTACAATCCCTGACTTTATTTGGGGGCTGGAATATACTTTGTAGCTATTTCCATATAGCTAGCATGTTGTGCTTTGGTTCTTGTGTCTCTGCTTTTGTTTTTCATCCTTTTTTCCTTTGTGTGGTGCTGGTGATGGAATGCAGGGCTTTACACATGCTAGGCGAGTGCTCTGCCACTGAGCAACACTCCGGGCCTTTTGTTTGTTAATTTTAAAATTTTGAGACGAGGTCTTGCTGAGTTGCCCATGCTGGTCTGGAACTGGGGGTCTGCCTGCCTCAGCCTCTCAAGTGGCTGGGACTGCGGGTGTCCGCCATTCTGCCTGGCTGTACCATTTTTTAGGCCTTCTCAAGTGAGATAATAGTGCTTCTTTTAGACTTAATCACAAGGGGAGGAGGGGAAGGAGGAGGGTGGGTTGGAGGTTGGTGTACAGAGTTGCTTAACAGCTGAATAATTAACAGCTCCATAATTGGAAAGTAACAGAACTGGGATCTAAGTCACAGTATACTAATTGTCCCCAGTATTTTAGTCCCCCCACCCCCCAATTTGGTTACTTTTCTGCTTATGTTTTTCATTTGATGATTCTGGGACTAGAAAACTTCCCTTATAATAAGAGGACTGTAATACTAGCGTGGATAGATTTTTAGACAAGTATTATTGTGAACTTCTTCTGAGAGTGACCGTATAGTTCTCATTGGTGTGCTTATTTAATTTTTTGGGCACAAATTCTAATCAGTGATGACTGCCACAGGTATTAACACAGACTTAAAAACCGGAAATTATCCCCTATAATTTTCATGTGTATGTGTCTCCCAGAAAATTAAGATAACTACCAGCACTATTACATTGGATGCTGGGCATTGCTTGCCTCGTAATGTTGCTCTGGCTGCATTGTTGTTTGTCCTTTTTGTGGTAGCGGGGATTGAACTTGGGACCTTGGCTTGCGAGGCAGGAGCAGCACCACTGAGCTAAATCCCCGGCCCTGGGGCTGCATTGTTGTTATTGAATCCCAGTGATGTACAAGGAAATATTCAATGCAGGGTTGCTGTGATTCCTATGCATCTGCTTTTTCTGACCATTTTCTGAGTCTGGAGACATTTGGGTAGACAGGGGTTTCAGTGTGACCTTCAGATATAGCCTCTAGCATCTTTTAGGTTCTTTGGTCACAGGGGTGACTGATGTTTCTCACAGAATGAATGCCTTTACTGGTTCATAATTGCATTTTTTTGGCGGGGTTTTAAAAGTAGATATTCAACTTCTATTTTAGTTTTGGAAAACAGTGTACTGTGTCTTACGTTCGCCATGCTTTTGAGTGATTTCGTTTGCTGAGTGGGACTTGAGGTTCTGATTCTACCCGGTGCAGACACCGCATTTGTATTCTTCTCTCTGCTTCTCCTAGTTTGTATCTTCTCTGCTGAAGTAGTGATCCTATCCGCCATGATGTGCTCAGCGCTGCTAATTCAAATGTTCGCCTGAATATGTTACTGATTTTGTCACAGGACTTGCAAGCAACTTGTTTTTCTATGTGAATAAAGTTGCTAAAATACTCCTTCATGTGATTGCGTATGTATGTATATGGACAAAACTGTGTGCTAGCATACTGATTTCAAAATTATCTTACAGATATGAAATATGCTTGTGTTTTACACTTTCTGATAAAACTTTATTGACCGAAAAAGCATTTAATTCAGAAAATGCTTAAATAGCATAGCCAACCATTATCTAGATTCTGTATTTTTAATTCAGTAGACACACAACTAAAAGTTGAACGAAATTTGTTTAGTTGCTTAGATTTGTTACTGATTTTTTATAATATAAACTTTACGCGGGAATACTGGGATATTAAGAACAATCATGGTGGTTGCTATGCCTCTGTATTGAGTGAATTGTGTGCTCTAAGTGCTGTTAACTCATGTAGTGCTCACAGTACTTTTATAAAAGAGAATTTGTTTTGTTGTGATTCTAGTAGGGACCAAGGGCACAGGACAGCAGGGCTACCTCCCTAGTGCCACACCATTAATAAGAGGAGTGCCTCCAATACAGCACAGCCCCTCAGAGCCAGACCCCACCCCACACCCTTGACTGTATGATTTAAAGGAACCAAGGGGGCTGGGCGTGGTGGCGCATGCCTGTGATCCCAGCATTCAGGAGGCTGAGGCAGGAAGATCACCAAGAGTTCGAGGCCAGCCTGGGCTACATAGCGAGACCCTGTCTCAAAAAACAAAATAAAGCAGCAACAGTAGAAGAACCAGGGGAATGTGTATGCAGCATACTGAGCCATGGTCCCTTGTCAAATAGTGTTATTTAATCTTGGGACCTTATTTCCTCTGCCCAACGTGTACTTTTCCAGCGCAAGCGTTTAAGTTTGAAACACTGTTTTGTGTTTGCAGACATGCCTCTCCACGTCCGACGAAGCAGTGACCCAGCGTTAATCGGCCTCCCAGCGTCTGTCAGTGACAGTGACTTCTCTGAAGAGCCGTCCAGGAAAAACCCCACCCGCTGGTCCACCACGGCTGGCTTCCTCAAGCAGAATGCAGCCGGGAGCCCCCAGTCCTGCGAGCGGAAGGTAACCCTCGGGCCCCACACTGCAGGCCTGGGTAGGTGCGGAGGTCCAGCCCAGTCAGAGCAGCATTTACCCCCAGCACCTGCACTGTGCCCTTTTCGGCAGCGTGGGCTTCCTCGTCTCAGCTCAGGTCAGCTCCTGTGCCACACCTTGCCTGGTCGGTGCCCTGTGTGGCACACACGTGTGTGTCTGTGCTGTAAGGTGTAATGCATCTTGTGGTTAAGAAGGGATGCTTTCAACATGAAATGTGCTCTTCTCCTATCTGCCAGTCAACCCGTGTCTCTTCATAGGCAACTTCTTGCTTTGCTTTTTGTGTGTCCTTACAAGGATGTTTTACACAGGTACTGGGTGTGGTAAAGAAAACTTTGCTTCAAATTTTCAAAAACCGTCACAGTGAAAGACACATTGCCACTGTGAATCCCACCCAGAATATTCCCTTCTGGTGTGAACACACTGTACCATCATCCTTGCCACTTTCTGAAGCAGTTATGAAGTCGACTTCTGTGGTTGTCTTTAGTTACACTGTCCTGGCTGCCTGGATGCTCTAATTCATGAAGACATTCACCTTTGATGGTCATCTTAACTGTGAAAAAGAGCCAGAAATCCCACGGAGCCAGGTCTGGTGGATACAGTGGATGCAGATACACTGTCATGTGTGTATGAACCTTCACTGTATTTTTGATCACACCCCATAAAGACACAAAAGAGCACTTCCAGGACTGCTCCAGGCAGTGGCAGGATGATGGCATAACTGTGTTTGAAGTGAGGCGTGGAGTCTTAGAGGGGATTAGTGGCAGCGTGACTTTTAGCATGACACAGGTTTTAAATTTAAACAGTCACTGTCTGTTTAGATCACACCATGTGTAAGTGTGCTGGGCATGAGATAGAACAAAAATGTACAGCAGTGTAGGCGTTAAGGATGGAAGTGGACTCCACGGTGTTTTACTCTGGCTGCGTAGTTGATCATTGATCCCCTCAAAATGGAAGTGTGCTGTCTCTCTCAAAGGAGTTGGCGTTCTCCACCCAACTTATTTAGTCCAAATAAGTGAACCTCATGTAGCCCATTAAAAACAACTCATTTGTTTTTTTGCTTTGTTTTCTGAGACAGAGTCTCGCTATGTAGTTCATGCTAGTGTCAAGCTCACTGATTCTCCTGCCTCAGCCTCCCAAGTAGTAGAATTCAGGCATGCCCCACGACACCTGGCTTTTGCTGTTGCTTTTAAATTTTGTTTTTGTTTTTTTGATTTTTCAGAGCAGGGTCTTGCTATGTAGTGCAGGCTGGTCTTGACCTCACTATGTAGCCCAGGTTGGCCTTGAACTCACAGCAGTCCTCCTGTCTCAGCCTCCCAAGTGCTGGGATTACAGGCATGCACCACCATTCCTGGCTTTAAAAACTATTTTGTTAATGCTCTTGTGTCATCTGTTCCTACAGAGCCCCTACTATCCTACCCCATCATAGCTCTAGCTTTTTACCCAGTGAACTTTAAGCTGTGTTTGTCATTTTCACTGCTGAATCTGTTGAACAGATGCTCAGTAAATCTACACTAAATAAGGTGATGGATATGTTTCAGCATAGCCAGTAATTTAGCCCAGTATGTAAAGAGAAATGTGGAAATAATACTAAGCACATTAATACTACAATGGGTGTATGTTGAGATTTGCCTGATTTATCCATTTCATCTGTGCGAAAATGCCTATAAACTATTTCTTTTACTTTTGTTTTGCATTTCAACAAACTCTGGTTTGTATTAGTTCAAGGCGCCTCCTTCCCCTAAATGAATGGAACACAGAATACTTAAGTTTAAACTGGGGAGAATCTGCTGGCATAAATGGAATGTCCTTCTAAGCTTCTGATTTTTTGTTTTGAATTAGGGATTGAAGTGTTGGTAGCCTCGGTCTCTGGAAATACTTTGTGATCACAGATTCTGTAGGAACCCCATGGGCCTTTTCTCCCATGAAGAGCAGCGTGAAATTCTAGAGGACTTTACCATGCAGTGGACCACTCAGAGGAGATCCATGTCTGACTAGTGCTCGGGACCTTTACTTTTTGTTCAGATGAAACCAGTTTTGGGTATTCACAAAAGTATAAACAGGTCAAGCTTGCAATTTTACAACATTAGCTTTTAATAGGTTTTCACGGAGTTGAAGGATGCCAAGTCAGAAGCCATTAAGGTAGTCAGGGTTAATTTTTAAGTCTTGCAGCATCTTGGGTGTGCAAATCACTTTAATTTTGCAGCAATCAGACCCATTTTAACCTAAATGGCTTCATACTTATAATTTGTTTCCCACAAAATCACTGGAAGGACTTGCAGAGCCCTCAGAGTGAAAGAGCTTTGGGCACTGTGCACACCTGGCCTGCCTGGGCTGCGCTGCCGAGGCCCGTCCTTGAATCTTGTCCCAGGCTCTGGTTGGGGTCCTCAGCGTGGCCTCCTGGTGTCCAGAGACCTGGTGTCGGCTCCCTGCCTCTGCAGCAGAGGGAGGAGTGAGGGGAGGGAGGAGTGAGGGGAGGGCGGGTGCTCACTGCCAGTTTCCAGCACCCGCCTCGGTGGTTTGGCTCTACATTACCTGTGCCTGCTGCTGGGAAACATCTGAGAAATGAGAGAACAAAGTGAAATCATCCTGGACTCCCAAACCCAGAAACAGCTAATACTCGAATGTTAGCCTGACTCCAGTGCTGTGTATGTGTATTTGCTGTGTCCGTATTTGCATCCTGATTATTTTTTACATTTTTCCTATCAGAGGGATTTACCCATTTGTGAACTTAATTAGAAAATACTTCTGTGGAATGTAAAATATTTTGTTGTAGGGTTGACTCTCATTGATTTATCATTCTCCCATTGTTAGACATTTATACTACTTCTGTTCATTCACATTATAAATATCAATGCGAGACATCCTTGAATATAAGAAATTGCTACATGTTCAACAAGATTTCTCCCTGTTTGAAGTGGTGTTTCGTGTAGACAAACTGTTCACACTTTCCTGCAGGAAAGGATAAAGGGCAATATGTAAAGAATTAGTCTTGAGTTTCTTTTTGCTTACATTTTCGAATACTAATTTACTAATATTATTTACATTTTATGCTGTTCATATTTTAGTCTGAGGTTGTGTGTATATATATACATATTGAGTTTTGTACATACATACACACATAATTCAGTTCTATCTTGTTTTTAGTTATAAAGGGTTTTCCCATCTTTTCAATATTCAGAAAGGAGGTTGGAGGAAAACATACTTGCTGGGTAGGCACAAACCGTTAAATATATTTATTTCTGTTGAGCTCAGGAAAGCTCACCTATCCTGGTCCATTTGAGATGTTACAAATTCTTACTAGTTCATAGTGGTTTAAGTTTTCTGTGTGAAAAGATTGACATAAACATTCATAGTCTGGCGATGCACTGGCCCTTCATGGCTGAGGTGAAGAGGTCTCGAATGGCTATCTGCGTAGTGGGTTATGTTCTTCCAGACTGAATGAACAAAGCAGGTAGTTTTAGAGCACTGCTACCACTCAGTTAAAATCTGTGACTGCCGAGCAGGACCGTTCACGCCAGTGTTTGAACACTGCGGTGTCCAGCTCTGGCCCGTGGTTCCTCAGCACAGGTGAGCGGTGACAACACCTCCTCCACCTTGAGGTCAGGGCGCTAAGCCAGCCTGGGGACTGGGAGGTCAAGGGCTCCAGGGGCTTCTGGTTTCCTCAGATGTCTCCTGCTTTCTCTGGAGCCACACATGGAGGGGAGGGAAGGGTCTTGCTATTTTCAGAGCTCTTTGGGCGTTCCCTCGTTCCTGTTTGCAGCATCTTGTGGCTGGCTGCCTTTTCAGCTGCTTTAGAGAACGTTTGGCTCACTCTTTGTGTGAAAGGTGTCTTGCTAGAAGCTGTATTTTCATTTGAAATTTCACAGGTAGGTAACATTTCGTCTGGGGAAAAGTGTTTTAGTCACTTTGAATGCTTCAGTCATTTTGGTGCTGCTTTGGTCATCTTCATTCAGTGGGTGTCGCTGGGACTGAACAGGCCACGGCCCATGGAAAGTCTTTGGTTCCCCCCTTTACAGAATGTGCAATGGGGTACTTAGCAAAGTAGGCCCACGGCGACGCTCCAGGGTGATCACCGTGTACTGTTGTCATTATGTGGCCATCCTGAGCCTTGGTTCTTTCAGCCTGGATACTGGCTGGTGGTGCTTGGCTAAGTTGCAGACCCTCTCCACTTCAGAAAAATTAAACATAGGTAGATTTAGCGTAATCATCGTGTGTGTTGACAAGTTTCCAAGAGAAATTCTTACCTGATTAGGGAAAGGGGAAGAAAGTGATAACGGAAACGTGTTGTATTGGCATCATTAGCTTTTTCATTTTCTCTTTTAAGAAAAATTTCTTACAGAAAGACGTTGGAATGTTTCTCACCCCCGGGTTTATTATTTGTGCTTGATTTAGTTGCGTGGCATGTTTGGTATCTTTCCAGTACCCTGATACAGGCACCCTCTTGGAAAAGATGCTTTTTAATTATGTCTCTGTCATCTCAATTTCCTCTCTATTACAAATGTGTGCTTTGTTTTGTTTTTATTTTTTTATTTGTACATGTTTGCAGCACATCATGAGTACATTCCTTGTGAGGAGTTGTCACATGTGTGACATAAAACATCTTAATGCTCTTTTTCCTCCCTTTCCCCTCCTTCTTCCTCCTCCCTTCATCTCTTGGGTCCCTCCCCTTTTGAAAAACTCTAGTTTTTTTTGTTTGTTTGGTTTGTTTCGCAGTGCTGGAGACTGAAGACAGGTTTGTGCACACTGGGCAAGCCTGCAGCACTATGCTGTACCTTCAGCCTTAGAAAACTCTTATGAACATTTCTTGCAATGTATTTTAAGGTTCCCCAGGTTTCTCCCCCTGATAGTACTTGTGCTACTACTTGTGCTTTTCATTTACCCAGTAATGAAAGGAATAAAGAAGCAGGTGAGTCACTTGAAGTCCCACAGAGGAGTGATACTGGCATTCTGGTGTGTGAACTTCAGGACTT